CTCCTTGAGTCCATTTTGGAATGCCCCCCCACAAACACTTATTGGCTTTGGGGAACGAACCTGATGGTGGCTTCATTAAATGGAGCAAGATAGTCCCTCAGCGACTCTGATGGACCCTATAATATATTGAACAACCTGGTGGTGGATATCTTCATGTGACGACTGGCAACAAACTTGTGCATAAGTTTCTTTACCAGCTCCTGATAGCTGGCAATAGAGGCACGTGGTAGACCCATATACCATTGAAGAGCAATATCCTTGAAGGTTGTAGATAGTAGTTTACACTTCAAAGAGCCAGTTGTCCCAATGATAGCCACTTGTGTGTTGATGGAGGTGACATGCTCATAGGGAACACTGCGACCATCAAACTTAGTCAAGGATGGGGGTTTGAATCCTTCAAGGACAGACCTGTCCCATATCTCATTCGAGAGTGGTTGGGAATCCAACACTTTTATTTCCTTCGGGGGATTAGATTCTTGTCGGCGTTGTCTGATATTGCGGACATTTTCCTCTATTATTTGTTTATCGGCATAGTTCTTCCATGGTGGCACGCACCTCTGCCATGGTGTTGATACCATTGCTACTACTAGTATACTCCAGCGTAGAGGATGAAGCCCTCGTGTTAACCATGAGTGGAAGAAGCTAGGTACAAGAGTGGATGGTGACAATGAGTATGGGGACTATGATGAAGAAGGTGTGGTCCAAGTTGGTTTTGTTGGGGTTCCAGAATGGACGCCACTATACTAGTAAAAAACTACATGTGTGCATGTTATTCCTCCAAGAACATGGATATTTAGAGACCTTAGTTTACAATATATGGTGGTTAGAGTTTGTGCACAGCGACGAGAAACTCTATTTAGTGGTGTTTATGAAACTTAGAAGACCTACTCATATAGAATGAGAGACTCTATTTATAAACATGATGCTTTTATGGTAAGAGTACATAAGGTGTGATATGTATAAGTTAATAATTGTCATTATGAAATATTTAGAGACCTTTTAGCCCCCGTGGTTTAGGCCTTATAGAATATTCCTCTATGCTCGGGTGGTGGTAAGTATACTTAATTCAAAGTGTTTAATTTTCTCTCTTGTTTCAACAAGCAAATCATAAATCAATTTATCAATTTATCGATGACAATTAATAATAAACATAAGAACAATAGATTAAACTATCCCTCACAAGATTTTTCATAAGATCAAATACACATTTTTGAAGAATATTTAATTATTCATAATGCAATTAAATATAATACACCGATCAATGTATATATCAATATTTTTATGTTTTAAATAACAATTTTCTTTTTTTAAATATCGATACAATATTTATTGATTTTCTTACTAATATATCTTTATTTCTTGTAGTTCAGCCCTTCTAACTAATTCTATTCCTCTTAAAAATCATTCTATTTAATTTGTGTTGTTCTTAAAAAAATTATTATTTGTTATGATTTTTAAGATAAAATTAGTATTGTTTTTAAATTTTTGTACTAATTATTGTTTGTGGAGTAGTAAAAGTAAATAAAAATCAATAAATAAAATATATATCAACAAAAAATAGTATTATAATGATATTTTAATAAAATAATTATTTAAAAAATATATTCTAGTTGAGTTGTTATTGTAACTTCAATAATTTTGAAATACATCATTAGTTCTTGAAAGAAGTTGCATTGTAGTTAGAATTAATTATGTAGATACTACTATTTATAAGACAGCATGTTTAAAATATATTTTAAGAAATTAATAATATAATTAATTAATAATATTATTTTTACACTCAAATCACACACTAATATTTATATTTAATACTATTTACCGTATTTATTCAGTGAATAATATTTTTTAAGAAATTATAATATTTTTTTAAAATAATTTCTTTTACTTTTTTTAATAATAAAATAAAGTTAAATAATAAAATAAAAAATTGATTAATGAAATGATGAAATTAATTAATAAATATCAAAATATTAAAAAATAATTTAATAATAAAAATTATTTAAACGTTTATTAACCAACTTTATAATTTTATTAACTAACATTTTTTACTTCATTAATCAATTTTATATTACTATTAAAAATTATTTATGATATCTGAATAATTTTTAATCAACTTTAATATTTTATTAACTAATTTTTTACTTTATATTAATTAACTTTATTTAGTACTAAATTATTTTTAATATTTGAATATTTATTAATTAATTTCATCGATTTTATTAATCAATTTTTTATATTTTATTAATTAATTTTATTTTACTACTATATATATATATATATATATATATATATATATTATATTTTTTTTTTAATTTCTGTGAAAAGGATAACTATAACGATTATTTTAAATCGGAGAAAGTATAATTTAAAAATAGACGGCAAAAATAGGCATTGACGCAGGTAGTGATTGATGGCTATTTATAGAATTGTCCGTATCACACTATTTTGGAGGGTCACACGAGAAGTGATTGATGACTTTGAAAAATCTTCAATATCACTTCCTATTCCTAATGTCCACAGGCCATATTTAAACAAAATCTTAATATCAAGTTTTAACAACTACCTTTTTTAGTACTATTTTGAATTCGTGAGGATAAAGATAAGTTTAATCAACATCAAATTTGAGTTTCTTGAGATTACAATTTTAATGGTGTCGGAACAGCGTTCCAATAAATTTGAATTTAAACTTGCTTGTTGCATTTTTTTTTATAATATTTCTTCTGTTTTATGTTATAAATTATTTTTAAAAAAAAATTGTACTCGTTTGATAATTTTAATGAATGATTAATAATATTTTTCTATTATATTTTTAAATATTTATTATTCTCTCTATTTTTAATTATGTAAATTTGTTTTTCATATTTCATCAATATTGAAAATAATTTTATAAAAACTTTATAATTTTTCATTTTTATACAACAATTTTTTTTAATGTGTGAAAAATTTAAAAGGATTTATAATAAAAAACATTAATAATATTATTTTTCACTCTAAATCTATATTACTGTAAAATCGGGAACAAAGCTTAAAGTGAGCAATGTAAATAGTTTTTTTTATATATTAAACAACATCATGTATTATGTATTATGTAAAAT